CCCCTCCCGGGTGTCCGTCCTCCTCCTGAGCCTCCTCCCAAGTTCCCACCCATCCCTCCCTCTGTTGTATCTACGGTGCGAGGACGCACCTTCCAGGAGGGGGTGAAATAAATAAGTAAATATATTGTCACATATTTTATATATGAAATATATAATTATAAAATTATATTATTATAAAAAATATTATTATAAAATTATATATGAAATCATATTTTAATATATGAAAGCAGCAATTCCTTATATATTATTCAATATATTGTAATGCATTTACACAATATATTATTCTGTATATTTTCAAATATACTGTTATATAATTTAATTTTTTGATCATTCATATCTTAGGAAATATATTTTCTTTGCGTAAGGGCTTGAAACTAGTAGCATAGAAAACATGCACATTGTGGCATAGTTTTATAATATAAAAGGGTCTCATACAACAGTAACTACATTAGTTTGGTATATATTTCTTCTAGTCAATTATATAGGCTACATAACTGAATATGTTTGAAATGAGTGGCTTATAACTGATGTCCAGATCTGAAAATAGTTATTTATGGAATGGGGAAGTTATGCTTATCTGTACATCAGATAAATATAATATGACAGAACATGAATAGGCAAACTTGTCTCTGCTGTAAGACAAGATTTTAGCATTTCCGTTTTGTCACTGGGACCTGAGAAAAGTATTATATACACTAGATACTTCAGCAATACAATATGATATAGGGGAGACCAGGGTAAGTTTTTACACTTTTTACTCCAATCAAAATTTCATTATAGTTTAGAGACCAGAACGTAAAAGTTTGAGAAAATAAGATAATAAAATAAACTTGTTTGACAACTAGCCCCGCATATTGCAAATATACACGCTCAGATCAGTTATAAAATATAATAATCTGAGAAAATGTGCACAAATTATACATATATTATTCATATGAACATATCATTTAATATGCAGAGATATTTACACATTCATGCTAGTTAAAACCGGCAATTTAATATAGTGGAGTCAGTGAATCTGTAAAGCAAAAAAGATTATATCTTAACTCAGTGATTCTCAAACTTTTAACAGCAGTCTACCTCCTGGGGCATTTAACATTCTTCTGCGTACTTCTCTCTCTTCCACTTTAGACCGCAGTTACACCTTTTCTATTAAATGACAATATTTGCCCCCTTAAATTGATTTACAGGTGCATTTTTTTTTACCTTTATGGAGGCAAAGATTTTCTATCCTATTGTATCTTATGTCATGTTTTATGTCATATTCTTAACATTCCATTAAGTGTATTATTAATATAATAAATAAAGCAATAAATGATGGCAAATCGAAGTGATAGCCTACTTGTAGACTTAAAAATAAAACTGCCAATAGGTGGCGGCAAGTCACTGTCTTAATGAGCCAGGCGTCGCGTCATTCATTCATTCATTCATTCAGTAAGGAAGCAAAATGCTGTAGTTATGAATGGGTTATATTAATCACTGACTCTCTGAATCATTCAAAGCCGCAGATTCGTTCACTAACTAAACACCGCTTGCTTGGAGACGCACACCAGATGATACGGATTTCGTTGGAACTATTATTATTTCGTTGCAAAATATAACAAACATGACAATAATCTGTTTCAAATGTAGGCTACATTTAAAATCTAAATTGTTTGCTGATTGGATATCATGTAGCCTATTTGACCGTTTACGGCACTCCCATTTTCCTGTTTTTACATTAGAAGAATCATTTTGCTTGTCAGAAAGACATATTCGGTTTTAATGTTACTTTAAGTTGGGGTAGAATTAAATGAATGCCAAAACTCAGAATTTTGTTCGCGTACCCCCTCCGTCACCTCACGTACCCCCAGTTTGAGAACCACTATCTTAACTGAATACAGAGATGTAAAAAAGTCTGACAATATACATGTCTTTATGCACAAAATGAATTACAGTGACTGCAGCTTAACTTTTTGCCTTCATAATTTCAAAACAGTCAATATCATGTTTTTGTTCCACCCACCCACACACTCGTGGATTGACTGCTTTTTATATTTTTTTGTATTTTCACTGCTGGCACTTTCCACAAATAGGGCAATAGAGCCTGAAATGTTTTTTGAAATCTTACTAAACAAATAGTAAGGTGCTAAACTTTTAGAAAATGCTGATTAATATTTCAGAAAATATTAAATACCACAACATGATATGTTTTATTATCTATTCATTTGTAAAAAAAAAAATTGTAATTGCCTAGCAATCAAAATTAAATAGATGTAAGTGTATCAAATAAATGTTAAAATAGCATATTTTTAAAAAAAGTGTCTGCTATACAATATTCTGTCCTGTTTTAGACAGATTTACTGCCACTTAACTCCAACTTTTCAGCCTGAAAAAATAGGATCTAAAAATGTGATCTGAACAGGGCGATGTAAAATGTTTTCAGTAACACTGTGTTTCTCACACGTGCCCAGTCACAGACAGGAAATGGAGTCTCTTACGCAGTGAATAGGTTGGGTCAATTTGACCTAGTTACAGAGATGCTGGATTTTACAGCAACAGCATGGAAGGAATATTCATCCTGCTTTAACATGAATCAGGATTTGTGGCCAAAAATGAGATAACTTTGAATTCAATCTTCTGTCAATGGCACAATATAAGAGTATACAATTGTTGAAATTTCATTAGCTCTATGTCGAAACAATTCACATCTTAATGCGCGCCTGAATGTACTCACATCTCACATAAGAGGATGTGTCAGTCTGAGTGTTTGGATTTGATAAGGTGGTTTTCCCCCATCTCCACCAAAACACAGAGCTGATCTTCTGTCTGCACTGAGACGAGCCATAGTAGTACAGCAGAGGGTCCAGAAAAACACTTACACTCCCCAAACACACAGCCAACAGGTAAGCCGCATATGATGAATCTCCCTCCCCGCTGTTGATTTTAGTAGTAGCTAAATAAACACAGTGGTACAACAGGATGCCATTGGTTGGAGCAAAGCACATCACAAACACCACAATAAATGATGGCAAATCGAAGTGATAGCCTACTTGTAGACTTAAAAATAAAACTGCCAATAGGTGGCGGCAAGTCACTGTCTTAATGAGCCAGGCGTCGCGTCATTCATTCATTCATTCATTCAGTAAGGAAGCAAAATGCTGTAGTTATGAATGGGTTATATTAATCACTGACTCTCTGAATCATTCAAAGCCGCAGATTCGTTCACTAACTAAACACCGCTTGCTTGGAGACGCACACCAGATGATACGGATTTCGTTGGAACTATTATTATTTCGTTGCAAAATATAACAAACATGACAATAATCTGTTTCAAATGTAGGCTACATTTAAAATCTAAATTGTTTGCTGATTGGATATCATGTAGCCTATTTGACCGTTTACGGCACTCCCATTTTCCTGTTTTTACATTAGAAGAATCATTTTGCTTGTCAGAAAGACATATTCGGTTTTAATGTTACTTTAAGTTGGGGTAGAATTAAATGAATGCCAAAACTCAGAATTTTGTTCGCGTACCCCCTCCGTCACCTCACGTACCCCCAGTTTGAGAACCACTATCTTAACTGAATACAGAGATGTAAAAAAGTCTGACAATATACATGTCTTTATGCACAAAATGAATTACAGTGACTGCAGCTTAACTTTTTGCCTTCATAATTTCAAAACAGTCAATATCATGTTTTTGTTCCACCCACCCACACACTCGTGGATTGACTGCTTTTTATATTTTTTTGTATTTTCACTGCTGGCACTTTCCACAAATAGGGCAATAGAGCCTGAAATGTTTTTTGAAATCTTACTAAACAAATAGTAAGGTGCTAAACTTTTAGAAAATGCTGATTAATATTTCAGAAAATATTAAATACCACAACATGATATGTTTTATTATCTATTCATTTGTAAAAAAAAAAATTGTAATTGCCTAGCAATCAAAATTAAATAGATGTAAGTGTATCAAATAAATGTTAAAATAGCATATTTTTAAAAAAAGTGTCTGCTATACAATATTCTGTCCTGTTTTAGACAGATTTACTGCCACTTAACTCCAACTTTTCAGCCTGAAAAAATAGGATCTAAAAATGTGATCTGAACAGGGCGATGTAAAATGTTTTCAGTAACACTGTGTTTCTCACACGTGCCCAGTCACAGACAGGAAATGGAGTCTCTTACGCAGTGAATAGGTTGGGTCAATTTGACCTAGTTACAGAGATGCTGGATTTTACAGCAACAGCATGGAAGGAATATTCATCCTGCTTTAACATGAATCAGGATTTGTGGCCAAAAATGAGATAACTTTGAATTCAATCTTCTGTCAATGGCACAATATAAGAGTATACAATTGTTGAAATTTCATTAGCTCTATGTCGAAACAATTCACATCTTAATGCGCGCCTGAATGTACTCACATCTCACATAAGAGGATGTGTCAGTCTGAGTGTTTGGATTTGATAAGGTGGTTTTCCCCCATCTCCACCAAAACACAGAGCTGATCTTCTGTCTGCACTGAGACGAGCCATAGTAGTACAGCAGAGGGTCCAGAAAAACACTTACACTCCCCAAACACACAGCCAACAGGTAAGCCGCATATGATGAATCTCCCTCCCCGCTGTTGATTTTAGTAGTAGCTAAATAAACACAGTGGTACAACAGGATGCCATTGGTTGGAGCAAAGCACATCACAAACACCACCAGCACAGCAATAGCCATAATCACAGCTCTCCTTCTTTTTTCTGAGAGCGATGAGGATTTTGCAAATTGATTAGACTTGGTACGGAGCACATATATGATGGTGGAGTAGCTCACTAAGGTGACGATAAGTGGCACAAAGTAGTAGAGGCAGGAGAGGATGGAGAACAGGTACATGTACTGCTGATCCGTAGGGTCATCGTGGATCAGCGCATCATGGCAGGTGACGCCCACATCCTTAATCTTGAATGTTTGTCTCATTGAGAGAAGTGGCACTGTACCAACGAGTGCCAGCAGCCAGACCAGCACACATATGTATGTGGCTTTCCTTGTGCTCCTCCAGGTCAGAGAGGCGACGGGAAACGCCACGGCCAGCAGCCTGTCCACACTCATGCACATCATCAGCAGTATGGAGCAGTACATGTAGCAGTAGTAAGCTGCACTGATCACACGACACGCCGCCTCACCGAACACCCAATCTGAAGTGTTCAGCTGGTAGTGGATCTTCAGATGCAGCAGCAGGGTGAAGAGCAGGTCCACACACGCCAGGTGAGACATGTAGATCACAGCTGGTTTCTTCTCTCGAATCTTACAGGTGAACGTCACCAAGGCCAAAGCGTTCAGGGGCAAACTAATGAGGATGATGAAGATGTAGAATGAGGGCATGATGCGTGTGGCCATTGGGCCTTTAAGGAAGTCAATAGCATCGTCTGAGATCTTGAGTATCAGGACTGTAGTCCGGTTGCATTTTGCTGCATTCAGATCAGTGACGTTACATGGATGTGCTCCTTTATTAGATCGGGATGCTTGTTGGTGTATCACTGTAACCCGACACAAAAACACAACAGCATCAGTGACCGCTCTCATAACACAACTAGACAAATGAATATGACTGAGAGGCCTTGATGAAGATGTTTAAGACATTCACACCAAGAATGATAACTAGCATTCACACCAACAGATGATAACGTTCTGTTTATTATAAATGCACACATCATTTTTGTCATCTGCCACTTTAAATGCTCAAGCTCATTAAAGCAGGATTCTGATTGGCTGTCAATATTTTTATCATTCATCAGCTGGAAGAAATCATTCTGAAAGTGTTGATATCCTTCCTCTGTGTTGTTATTGGTATAGTGTGAATTTTATTCTCATAGAATTAGAATGAGTTTTAACACTTGACTTATCGTTATTGTTCTTGGTGTGAATGGGCCTTTAAACTACAACCCCAATTGCAGTGGGCTTGCAGTACAAACAGTGTTAAACATACCTCTGTCCCAACTTTTTTGGAGTGTGTTGCAGCCATCAAAATCAAAATTTGTTTATATTTGCAAAACCAAATTAAGTTGGCAAGTGAAAACATTGGATTTTTTTTCTTTGTACTTTAGTCAATTAAATAAAGGTTAAAAAGAATGAACAAATAACATATTTTAATGGCATTTCACAAAACATCCCAACTTTTCTGGAATTCGGGTTGTAAAGCCTCAGAGTCCAAAACAAACACAAGGCCATTACGGTCTGTCTGCTGGATATTGTACATACTTTCACAAGTTTTATTTGGCATTAAAGAAGAGTCTGGCAATGTCTCATCCATATTGTAGTCAATCGGCTCATCAGTCTGGGTTTCATAGTCACGTTGAACAGAAAAACTGCGTCCAGAGGGGGCTGTAACCAAACACACAACCATCAGTGATAGTTTTCATAACACATCCAGATAAGGAAAGCCAAAGACAAAACTCTGGGCCCTTTTCTTTACAGTAAGAACTCTAGGAGCAACATATTTAGCATATTGGTGCCTGTGTATTTTACAACTTAAAACGTCTCCAGGTTACACAGGTAACCATGGATTCCCGAAGGGAATGAGACGCTGCATCGAAATGCTACGGGAACGCCTTCAGCGTGACCACGCTCTGAATCACATGTGTAATCAGTCCAATGGATGGGCAAGACGTCATGGGCGGGGTGACGTAACGACCAGGAAGCTTAAAATCACGTGCTGTGGAACCGGCGTCAGCTTCTAGGAATGAAGCAAGCGCTGACAGGGATGCCGGAAGTATGGCCCTGAGACGCAGCGTCTCGTTCCCTTCGGGGAACCATGGTTACATGCGTAACCTGGAGATGTTCCCCTTCAGGAACTCGAGCTGCGTCAAAACGCTACGGGAACGAGAATGCCCACGCCGCCAGACTTACAAATCCCTGCCTAGTGTGAAAGGCAGCTAAAGCGAGAGAACGGAGCCAGGAGTGGCGCAGAAAGCAGGTAGGCTCCTGACAAAATAGGCGGGGACATCCTGCCCAAAGGCCAACTTCAGAAGGAGTGAGTCTTGACCCCCAATGGAGTGGGGAGATCAGAGGACTCGAGGCTATGGAATAGCATCCTGATCCACCGTTTAGCATAAGCTTCTCTGGCCGGAGGCCTCAGCGCACTACGGAGGAAACGTAAAACCAGGGGGTGTCTGCCCACTGACTGGTCACCAATAGGGGTGTGGTAGGCCGCAATGGCTGCCAAGTAGACCCACTCCACCCTGCGGAAAAATGGGCCTGCAGGAACTCCAGAACTGTACCAACCGGGCAGTTAGCTGGGTTGAGCTGGCGGTCTCCCTCAGGGGCCACACCCATAACTTCCACAGCTCCGGGGGGGGGTGAAAGATCGCCTGTGAGAGGAGGTCCCTCCTGACGGGGATCTCCCATGGAGAGCCGTCGAGAAGGGAAATCAGGTGCGAGAACCATACTCCGCCCGGCCAGAAGCCTGAGCCTGGCCAAAAATTCTCAATATCTGCTTCACCACCTCGGGGTGAAGCGTCCATTCCTCGGGCCTCGGCCCCTGCCTCGACGGGATGTCTGCTCCCATATTGAGATGCCCAGGGATGTAAATGGCCAGCATCTCCAGGCAGTTGATGTGCCAAGTGAGATGGCGACCGCTCCACAGACCGCGGGCAGGGTGGCCACTCATGAGCGCACCCCAACCGGTGAGGGACGCATCCGTCGCTAGCATTACACGGTCTGAGACAAGAACCAATGTTTCTTCCACATGATTAAGGCACGTAGGCACCTCCACGTGACCTTGAGCATGCGAAGCAGGTTTCCCCTCGGGGAGAACCCCTTGGTCTTGAGCCACCACTGTAGGGGTCTCATTTACAGCCGGCCAAAAGGTATCACGTTGGACGCAGCTGCCATCAGAGCCAGCAATCTCTGAAAATGCTTGACAGTGAGTGACTGGCCTTCTCTCACTCTCTTGACTGCGGAGGAGCCAGAGCAGCATCCACACACTTCGTTAAAGTGTGGGGTGAGAGTGCAAGGCCAAAGGAAAAACTCAGTGTTGGCAAGCTTTTGCCCCCAAAAGCAAACCTCAGGAACTTCCTGTGATGAGGAAGGATGGAGACATGTGCATCTTTTAGATCGATCGTGCCAAACAAGACCTCGGACTTGATCTGAGACACGACTTGTTTGAGTGCGAGCATGCTGAACTTCAGTCGCCTGGCTGAGCGGTTCAAATGACGCAGATCTAAAATA